CCCACTCCTCCTCCCACTCCTCCTCCCACTCCTCCTCCCACTCCTCCCACTCCTCCTCCCACCAGTCTACCACTGAGCTCGGACGCCCATGGGCCCCTTCCCATGCATAGATTCGACTAACCCTGAATAGAAAACATTCCAGAAAAACACATCTGAACTGGGACTCTTGTGACTGTTCCTGTAGGTCTGTCTACTTGTGTTAGAGATCATGTCATCCCGCACACAGAGGACACACATACAGGTTCTGTGCAGATGTTGGGCCATTTTGTAGGAGTGATTTGGGACCATGTATTTTGCTGCTCTTGTGCAGCCAAACCCTGGAACCGTCCCCTGTGATAACAGGTGATGAACGGGGAGCTGAAACTGTGTCCATAGGCTCTCTCACAGGCAGGGGCCAGGCTGTCGGAGGGTCCGTCACACCTCCACTAGAGCATCCAGCCTGCCTCTTCCAGCTCCTGCTGGATCTAGGTACCCCTCATCTATGGCAGTCTTGCACACTCTGCCTGCATCCTTCTAAGGCTGCCTCTCTGGTAAGGACACCGATCCCGGGATTTCAGTCATCCTAGTCCAGGTGCAGGATGGATGGAGGGTGCTGTCCAGGTCTGCTGTGCACTGAAGCTGCCACTTACGGGAAACCAGAGCCTTCCTCTCATAGCAGATCCCACGGGCACCAGCTTCTAGGGGAACAGAGAACATCTCTGGATAGCCACAGTAAAGACCAGCATAGAAGCCCACGAATATTCCCACCTCACACTTAGCTTCCATGTAGGCTGCCCAGCCTCTCTGCTTGTTGGTGGGAGCCAGCTTTGCCAGGGATGGTGTGACTCACTAAGGAGGCAGGTTCCCAACAGATGAGGGAGAACTAATGTGGGAGAGAATGTCTGAGGTGACATGTCCCCAAAAAGTAGAACTGTGAGGCTCATGGGAATCTGCAGAGAGCTAACAGTGACCTTTGACCCTCGTCTACTGGTGTGATGGTGACCTTTGGCCTAAATCTGTGTGAGTGACTGTGATCTCTTACCCACATCTGCTTGAAATGAAGTGACCTCTGACGATATCTGTGTGAAGTAACAGCGACCTCTGACCGGTATCTGCTTAAGGGGATGGTGGCTTCTGACTCAAGTTTGTGTAAAATGAAAGATAACCTCTGACCCATGTTGTGCCAAAGTTACCTTTCACAGAGACCTTCCTGTTGGGCTCACCAGCTCCGGTCCTGTGCTATGACCTTGAGCTCCACCCTCAACCTCCAGCTCCTCTCCTTCCTTACTCAGGCCTGATGTGTTCTGAAGCCTGAAGCAATAGGCTGTGGTCTGTCCTGTCTCCACAGGACAGACCTCTTACCATCTTGCTAGCCACATGGTCTCAGGAGCTTCCTTCTGTGTGAAGTTGTGCCTTGACAGACAGCAGAAGACGATACAAAGGCTCCCAAGAGCACCCAGCATGCTTTGCTGAGCCTGCAGCCTAGACTCAGGGGCGCATGGGTTTAAGTGCAAGGATATCTCCTGTGGTAAATGAGACAGCCTCACAAGCTCAGCTCTGGAGTGAAAGGGCCAGCTACGGAGCCTTGGGCATCCCTCAGTCCTATCCTGAAGGCAGAAACACACACACACATACATACACACACACACACACACACACACACACATACGCATGCACGTGAAAAAGTGATAGACCATCATGAGGGATGGTTTGCAGAAGTCAGGCAGAGGGAAGAAGGCAGAGACCCCAGCGTGAGCAGAGAAGAATATGGAGGCTAAGTGGGGGCCCACCACCTGACTTCTTCCTCTTGCTGTCATAATGAACACTAATGCCCCAGTCCACTCACACATAGTCCAGGTAAGGTAGGGCAAAGGCCTCTACTGTCAACCCTAAAGTTCTCTCCTCCCGCCCTGGGGACAAGAAGACAGTTCCTCCTGGGAGACAGCCTTGTCATCTCCACACCACATACCATCTTCAGCAGTAAGACAAAGATAGAGGCCAGAAAGATGGAGATCTAAGGAAGGTATTTGCAGTCTAGGCCAGCTTCCTAGAGAAAGTGTCCCTGAGGGGGCCGCTGCTGGCTACTCCTCAGAAAAGGGCAACTTTCAGTTCTTACTGCAGGTTAAGCAGAAAGCTTGGTGGGCACGCTAACCTAGATAAACCTCTGGTCTCTGATCTCTGAGGGAATGCCTGTCCTGTGCTCCTTCTAGAACTGCCCACCACCTCAGTGAGGGAAGCCAGGGGAGGAGAGAAAGTGGTCTCTCTGAAAGTGATCTACCCACCCCTGGGAGTATGGGCTTGGAGTTGTTACCAGCCTGCTGATCAACCACATGGAAGCTAGTGAATTCTCCATGAAATTCCCAGAGGCAGGTCTACCCAGCCCAGGAGAGCCACCCAGAAAGACAGGAACCATGCCCAGGAAGGTTCTATCTACTCTCTTAACTGAGCAAAACTGCTTGCTGTCCACTAGAAGGAGGATGGATCTGACAAACACAGGCACCCTCAGGGTGCCCCCTGGCTCCATGACCCTGACTATCTAACTCATCCTCCCTCCTGTGCTGTGGGGCCTCTGGCCATCTGGTTGCTTTGCAAACACCCAGGGCCTTTGCACATTCTTTCCAGCAGCTGGTCCTTGCAGTTCCTCTACCCGATCAGCCCCGTGGTGTTTCCTAAATTTATTTGTAGCATATTGTCTGTCCCTCTCAGTTGC